GGTTTTTATGTCTCACTCGTTCAAAATTTTCTCTTAATTTCTGCATATTAAACTTGGCAATTCCCCGTTTTATCAGTTCACATCAGTAAAAATGTTTGCCCTTGTTTTGGGATCAACCATGAGTTACAACAGTAAATGTTTTTGATCAATTCCTATTTTTGATTTATCAAACTTTACTAAAGCGGTAATCAATACTGAAGATTATATTATTGTCCTTTTGTATAAGTTGTTGATATTTAATTCATTTGTATTTTTCTTGTATTTTCTTTTTGGTGGAAGGTCTTGATGCTTTAAAAAAAACAAGGTGTGGACTAGATGTCTGTGCTGTTGGCTCCAATAAAATCACTTGTATTCTTTCACTCAGTGTGCTTGTTGTCTCATTTGTATGTATTGTTGAGAGTGTTACCTGTCCTAGTTGTTACGTAAAGAACAACTCAGACAGATTCAGTGACAGTGTCTCAAATTATGGGGAATCAGTCTTCTTCTTAGGCACTTTATTTTTTAAAATTATTTTCACTAAAAAGAAGTGCAGTTTATTAGATGTGTGATTCTGTATTTCAGAGTGCAATGAGCAAGGGACCTCCCCACCCCCCTACGTATCTCTACATGAATGCCATACCAGAGTTTTGCGAACATCATTTTTTTTCTTTAACTGAAAATAGTAAGCAGTTCACAGAATTCAGCAAATGCCAAAGTCAGAGCTATTTGTTTTGTCCAGTCTGATCTAACCGTTACCTCCAGGACACACGTACACAGATGAGGTAAATCTGTCATCAGTGGATTTGTTACCAAATAAAGCAATAATATTAAGTGTTAACCACAAATTTCTTTCACCAAAGACATGAATTACAAACACTGAACTTTCACTGAATTAGTTTAATTGACCGCAAAAAAAAAAAAACCCAGCAAAAACTAATCCAATAAAACAAATTTACCATAAAAATACTGAATGAAACCGTGAACATATACTTTATAATAGAAGAGACATCCTTCCATTTATGAATTGTTATGCTTTCTGTCTGGTCACGGTATAAGCAGTGAAGAGAAGAAATAGAACATACTGTGACAGCTGACAACAATTAATGCAAATAATAAGAGAAGAAGACAGTGAGAGGTTCTTTGTAGCCTTGTGTAAAAGCACAGCGAGATGTTGGCATCAGAACTTCAGGTTGATGCTAGAACACCGCTGTCGTGGTCAAGTATGCTCACCCACGCTAGTGACAAGGCACTTGATAGTCATACTTTGTGACAAAAGTGTAATGATCCATTAGTTGAACTCAGAACTGAATGACACACAGAATTTCATACATACATGACTTTAAAAGAAAATATATCTGCATTTCTCTTGCACTACCTTTTCACTAAATGAAAGCAAAGCTGGCTGGCTATTTGAAGTCACATCAATTATATATTTGAGTGCAGGCAGGCCTGCATCCATTCACAATCTGCTCAACCTTTTACTGTATGTATAACTAGAAATGAAACATCCATCACAATCTGCTGAACCTTTTACTGTATGTATAACTAGAAATGAAACATCCATCACAATCTGCTCAACCTTTTACTGTATGTATAACTAGAAATGAAACATCCATCACAATCTGCTCAACCTTTTACTGTATGTATAACTAGAAATGAAACATCCATCACAATATTTGTGACTTAGTTTGTATACGTGAGTGTAGAAAAGCAAAACCTCATTCACAATCTGTTCTACCTAGTATGTGAATATAAACCTATTTCTCCAGGACTGCCCCCCCCCCCCCCGACCCCCAAAATAGGCCTGAACCCTTAATATTGCCTAAAGAAATCCTTTAAAACAACCACCTATTTTACACTGACCACAAAGAAACGTAAACATTTATTTATCTAGTTAAAAAAAAAAATGGGGGGGGGGGGGGGGGGTTGGAATATTTCCCCTAAAAAATATAAGACATGAAGAGAGCGCTCAATAAACAAGAAAAGAGTTAAGCATTTCAATTAGCAGTTCTCAACCTGTGGGTCATGACCCCTATCAGGGGTCGAATGACCCCCCTCAACCAGGGTCGAATGACCCTTTCTCAGGGGTTACCAAAGACCATCGCAAAACATATATTCACTGAAGTAATGAGGTAATAACAAAAATAAAAGCATGGTTGGGGGTCACCACATTAGGAAGTTTGAGAACCACTGATTTAAAGGGAATGCACTCTCACAGAATATGGCTTTACATAAACCACTTGGTTTTCAAGAAAACCTCCACAACTTTCAATTTTTTAGTAACTATATTCATACCTAGACTTCTAAGCTCTGCGTAGACAAATACAAAACCTATAGTGTTAACTATGTGTTCTGTAAACATGACACGAAAGAAAAGTTGGTTAAATCACATTTCTGGTAAACTGGATGCAATCAAAAGTGTCAGTTTTGTGGATTCTCGGGTGTCTAGGTTGACAAAGAATTGACAAGGCCACAATCTTCTCTATCCAGTTTGTGTATTTGAGCACAGAAAACAATTTTGCAGGTCATTAACATTTTTCTCTATCCTGATGAGGTATTGTTTGTTGGCATCTTTCCAGATGTTGAGTTCAACTATGTTCTAGGAGGTGTAGGAAACACAGCCTGTAGCAATGACGAGTATCAGTTGCCAATGTAGGCCACAGATAAAGTTCCTTCTAAAAGCACAATGCCAGTACAGTCCTGTAGTGAGCATGTGTTGCCCAGGTAGCATGACCTTCTCTCTCAGTCTGCTCTGTTTATCCCGGTGGAAAGGTAACACTAATAAATCTGGAACAAGGCTTTTTTTGCACAAGCTGCCAGATCAGAAAATAAGTGCTTTATCAGAGCTCAAGAAATTCAAACTTTTTCACTCTTCTCTCCAAGAATTGTAGACATCATTCTCACTTCCCAGTACAGACATTCATTCCCACTTTCCAGTACAGACATTCATTCCCACTTTCCAGTACAGACATTCATTTTTACTTTCCAATAAAGAAATTTAGTCTCACTTTCCAGTGCAAAAAATCTTTTCATAATCTACAATTTAGTTAATGAATGAAGCCTTAAATATGATTGGCGCAAGCAGTCACTGCACTGTTTGTATGGGTGTCTGCGTGTATCCGTGTGTGTGTGCCTATGAATGTCTGTGTATGTGTCTGCCTATGTGTGTCTGTGTCTGCGTAAGAATCAGCGTGTGAGTATGTGTCTGTGATTGTGTGTGTGTTCATGTTTCTGCGAGTGTGTCTGTGTGCATGTATCTGTGTGGGTTTGTGTGTGTTTGTTTTTGTGCATATATGTGTGTCCACGTCTGTGTGTCTGCGGGTTTGTGTGTGTGTTTGGGTCTGTTCGCGTATGTCTGCATTTGTTTCTGTGGGTGGCTGTGTGTGCATGTATGTATCTGTATGTGTGTGGAATGTGCATGTCTGTGTGGGTAGGTAGGTATGTATGTGGGTGAGTGGGTGCGTGTGTTAATGTGTGTGTGAAAGTATGTGGGTGTGTATATATGCATGTTTAAGTGAGTGGGTGGATGTGTGTGTGTGCGCTAGAGTGTGCATGCATTTTACCACCTATGCTTTTGTTTTCTTTTGTTTTCTATTATCATATGAATGTAACACATGCTTATTGACTTTAAAAAAAAAACTGCTGTGTGAAAGACGGGTGTCAAATGTAAGACAGGCCTGCGAGCCCAATTTATAACCCTTTGAAAATAAAGTTTGTCGTTCGTTCACTATCTAAAAGAGACCACCTAATATAATGGTTGGGATTGAAGGGGAAAAAATCACACATCATGCAACTGTTGACAGTGAAAGTTGGGATTGAAGGGAAAACAATCACACATCATGCAACTGTTGACAGTGAAAGTTGGGACTTGCATCTCACAGCTTTACTGTGGTTCTTCTACTCTCCCGCTTCACCGCTTCAGGTGCCGATGGAGATGTAAGGTTCTGCTTCTAGGTTTTCCAGCAGCCTCGACCATAGTCACATTGTGCTGTTGTAGAGTTTCTCTGATGTTATTTTTCTTTTTCTTGGTGTGCCCCTTGCTCTACATCCCTCTCCTCTTGTTTTGTATGCCTTGTATGGTGTCACAAGTCATTCTTTCCAAGTGGGCAAACTATCTGCTGTGCTGTCTTTTGATGTTAAAACTGTTTCTGTGTCAACTTCTTCTCTGACATTCCTGATTTGATCTTTTCTGGTCACTCCTGCTGCACTTCTCAGACATCTCATTGCCATGGTTACTAGTTTTCTTTCCTGGTTTGTTGTGAGTGGCAGCATAAGATGGGAATGAATATGCTTTGTATGAGATGTTTCTTTGTGCTGATTAGGACTGCCTTATGCTGTAAGAGACCGCGGCTAGCTGTCCCAATACTTGGTTTGTTTTACTGCATCAGATATTACTTTCTTCATCAAGTTTCTTCTCTTCGGTGAATGTTGTTCCCAGATATTTAAACTCAGATTTTGTTTAATAAGTGTACTCTAGGCTATATTTAAGTTCTGCTTCTTTCTTCCTATTGACATTACTTCTGTGTAGTTTTTTTTAGTGATCATTATCATATTGTTTGTTTCATATTCTGTATTCATATGGTGTAAACTCTTTTTTAATTTGTGCCTGTAACAAATGGGTAAAAAAAAAAATCTGCACAGGATAAAATGGCTTAAAAAAGAGAGGCAATGTGTCCCACATCAATCACAATGAAATAGAATCTACAATACAGTAATAAATTAAATTGTGAACAAAGCAAAATGACAGAAAAACACAAGAAATGGTATTCTTTCTGCTATAATCAATACTTAGACTGAGAAATGTTTTTCTAAAGATTTGCATGACAAAACTTTTAGTTTCCATTATAACTTTTGCGTAGGCAAGTTGTCCTGATTTTATTAAATGCTCTTAATGTCACCGAAATATACTGATTGTGTTGTGTGTCAGCGATAAATGAGAACACAAAAATGATGCATACAGAAGTACAAAATTGGAGAGCTTCAGGATGGATAATCAATGATGGTTGCAGGTGTGAGGATGTTCATTTCTGGTGTGTCGGGGAGGACGGATCAAGCATGGATTTTCTTCTGGCAGTTTCCTTGGAAATATTCTGGTGAAGTTTGTTTAGTCGATCCTGAGGAAATACAAACAACACATTCATGTTTGGGGAAAACAACAAAAACCTAGATCATTCATCCCCAGTGCACAGACGCTACTTGAGTGCTGGACATAAGAAGAGGTAAGATAACCTCATCATCATTATCATGTGTGTGGTAGGTCTTTTGTAAAATGTGGATTCTAAAAGACCAACTGGAAAAACGAGTCTCTTGCCACTTACCTGCTTCTTACTGAAGCTGCTGTGGTGTAGTAATTAGTTCCCTTGCTTGTTAAAACAGTTGGTCTAGTTTAAATCCCAAACTAGGGCAAGATTTTTTTTTTACCAGTCAATTCAGCATGATTAAAACTGATGGCACTGACACTTCTGACAGTAGTGACACACCACAACGGCACTGGCATACTCTGACAGTAGTGACACACCACAATGGCAGTGACACACTCTGACAGTAGCATCTGTGACAAGACAGCCACGTAATATTTTAAGATCTCTCTAATAACCCATGTCCACCACTATGCTATCCGATCCCTGACATTTCCTCAATATATGGTTTTAATTATACTTTAGGGGGAGGGGGGACAGCAACAATGAATGCCATATTTTACCAATGCCTAATGCGCCAGCTGATCCCTGATACATCAATACAACACTATCAACCTGTACATTCTCTACAATACTAAGCGAAACATAAGATTACGAACCTGTACGTTCTGTAAGATACTGCTGACCAACATAACGCGTCTTCGGGAGTTGTTCAACTTTTTCATGTACGGCTCCAGCTCCAAGGGCACAGGATCAGTCTCTGCGATTTTCTTGAGGTCTAGGAAACAAAAACACTGACGATAATTTGCTGGAAATGATGAAATGAATGTTTTTCACTGAAGTGGTTGGACCACCCTAAAATGGACATCAGGAAGTAATAGTGGCTGACCTAGATAATGTCCCCATCACTGTTCGAGTCTCTGTTGGTCCAACAAGACAGAAGCCTGGACAATTAATAAACAAGCTAAACTATTTCTTGAGGTCTCAGAGATGTGGTTTTACAGAAGAATCGTTAGAATTACCTGGACAGCTAAAAAGAGCAACCCAGATGTCTTGAATAAGGAAGGTCAGAGCTGGAAAACAACTTATCACAAAAATCAGAAAGACAGTCATCATTCTTTGGTCATTTTATGAAAAGAGGGATAACTAGAACATATTATAACCAATAGAAAGATCTGTGGAAAAAGAGGAAGACAGAGCGAGAAGTTTGAACTGATACAGGCAGTTGCAGATCGCAGAGTGTAAAGAGGTTGTGCTGCCCTCGCCAGTCGGCAAGGCACTTGACAATGATGACAGGACACACACATAAAATTACTAAGAATGTAACCTGGCATATGTATTGCAAGAGGCCAGACTGGGGAAGGTTGGGGTAGTGATAACCTCATTCTGTAGAACACTGTAACTACAAAACTCAACCTCTCAGAATCAGTTTACAATGAGTTATTTCCCATGCTTCACCAGAAGATCAAAAACAGGAGGAGAAGAAGAAAAAGTAGAAGAAGAATAAAGAAGTCAGATGCTATTTGTACATACCTTCACAAAAGCTGTCAATCTGTTGTCGCAGCTCCACCTGGCTGTGCCTGGACAGAAGATTGTAAAACGTTATAAAACTTTTGTTGTTTGTTTTTTTTGCATTACGCAAAGACTACTGTAAATTTTTGCAATCTTGGACGGTTAAAATCCCAGTGTTGGTTCTGGGTCCTAGTTTCGGGGGAGATAAAAAACAAAAAAGCTGCCTGCACTTTATTAACCATATGTTGAGGGTCAACTGAAAGTGAGGGTCAACTGAAAGTGAGGGTCAACTGAAAGTGAGGGTGTTTTTTTTTTAAAATCCCTAATTATTAACTCATTTTTGTCACGCATCTGTCATTATTTAGAGTTAGGAAAAACCTAATACTAATACATAACAACTTTACTTGGATCCCTACTTCTTATACATCTAGTCTCTCTTTCGATCTTCGTCCCCATATTATGGTGGCTAAACAAATACCTTAACAGGGCCTCAGTCGTGTGTAAAATACGGAAGCTATCCTCCGAACAACGGGCACAAAAGATGGTGGCCGCAAAATATCCTTATGAGCCTCAGTCACTTGTCAATTGCGCACTTCCTGCAATGAACAAATGGCTGGCACCCTGTTGGAGTTTTTGTTTGCCCTCGATAATATTGACCCGTTACTCTGAGGCAATCCTAGTTTTGCCGCGATTTGTTCCTCGGCAGGAACTCTGCAATTTGAATATGACTAAGGCCCTGTTAGGGTATTTGTTTGGCGGCCATAATATGGGGACGTAGATGGCACTCTTCCGAATACTGGTCCCAAATTATTTACTGCCAAAAACATCCCTTTTAGAGACCTCTTGAGGTCCTGAAAGGGATTTTTTTGTCTTTGAATAATAAGGGATCGTTATTCGGAAGAGTGCCCCTATATCTAACATATACTGAAATCTCGGATATCCTCCGAATAACGGTCCTAAATTATCAAGGTGGAAAATATACCCTAACAGGGCCTCAGTCACATGTCAATTGCGCACTTCCAGGGACTATAATGCCACGGCCAACTTGCGAACATCCGCCACTGCCGAGAGTATCCCCCATGCCGCTCATGCGGAGTGGATTGGGGCTAAACTAGACGGATAGGACTCACGAGCATATACAACGAAGGAAGCTGCAGGAGATGCAGTAGCTGCTGCTCATGAGTCCTAGCCATCTAGTTTAGCCCCAATCTACGCCGCGTGAGCGGCGTATGGGATACTCTCGGCAGTGGCGGAAGACGACGGAAGTGCGCAATTGACACGTGACTGAGGCCCTGTTAGGGTCTATTTTCCGGCTCGATAATTTAGGACCGTTATTCTCAGGATATTTAAATGACGCAGATAATTCACTGAATGAAAGGTTATTGGATTTAGTTTTATCGCCTCTAAATGATAGTTAAGTTTTCATAATTTTTATAAAATTATTAAATTATATCATTAAATTTGAGTAATTGGACAATTCATAGTAATAGTATAACTATAATGTACCTGCGCCAATCACATGACATGTTAGAGAATGGAATGGAACAGACTACCTGACATCCTGCACCCTGTTGTCGATCTCTTCAACAGCAGGTTTTAAAATATCCACCAGACCCCTAGCGATGGCATCTCTGTTGTCGGTGTCCATGGGTTTCTCTCCGTAGAGGGACATCAGGTCGTCAGCCGTGGGACCACAACAGATAATGTCTTACTAGTTTTGTCTCCTCCCCCTAACTACTTCCTGTCTTATCAAAAAGTTTCAACGTTCAACACACGGAACAAATTATATATGTTTTTCTACACATCCTCTTGTACACTTGAAGTGTCGAGTGAGATATATTGTTCTTCTTCTTGTTTTTTTGGCCGCCTCTACCATTGACATTTTGCGCTGTTGTCGAGTTTATCTGATGTAATCTTGCCATATTGTTCTTGGTCTAATTCATGCTTTACATCCTTTTCTTTTCGTGTATCTTCTTCTTTCGTTCGCTTGAAATATATTATCTATACCTGCAATGATGTGTGATGTCTGTTGTAGCGACCCATAAGGTTTGGCTTGCACCGATATTTTAGTGTATTCCTTAAATGGCATGGTGGAACAGGGAATTCCTTCTGCAGTCCATTTGATTTGCCGTCTTTGTGAGTAGTTTAGAATTGGTTTGATGCCAACTTGCACTCTTGTGACCTCATTCTTGTTTTTGTCTCTTCTGGTCACGCCTGCAGCCATTCTCATAATCTGTTTTTCTCCCCATGGTTACTAATGTTCTTGTCTGGTAGTCTGGTAGTCTTAGTTTCAGCTTCATAGCAAACGGGTCACCCCATCGTTGCTCCGCTCCTGTGCCAACGAATCACACATAGCATGTTTATCACATGTCTGATTTGTTGTGAGTGAACATGTCTGGCACTGGGAACTTAGAGTGGGAATGAATTTTCTATGAGACATTTCTAAGTGCTGGCTGATTGGAATTGTCTCGTTCACTGAACGGGGGCTAGCTGTCCCAATACTTGGTCTGTTTTACTGCATCAGATGCTTATTTCCTTCTCCACTTTCCCATCATCGGTGAATGTTGTTTCCAGATATTAAAACTCAGATGCATGTTTAATGCCGTTGCACACTATGTTGCTATATTTAGGTTCTACTTCTGTCTTCCTATTGACATTCATCATCATAGGGTCTCGCCGACTGGTGTGGGCGATCATGTCGTTCCACAATCTGCGATCCGCAACTGCGTGTATCAGTTCGTGTGCTGACACCCACCCTTGACCCAATAAAAACTGTCAAGAATCTTCTCATGCTGTCTTCCACTGTCTCTCTTTCCACATATCTTCCCAGTGGCCCAACTTCTTCCATTTTCTCTCTTCCCATAACGTGAACAAATAATGATGACTGTCTCCTTCTGATGTTTGTGATAAGTTGTCCTGTGGCGCTCACCTCTTTCAAAACATCTGGGTTGCTCTTTTTAACTTTCTGAGGAATTTTAGGGACTCTTCTGTAAAGCCACATCTCTGAGGCCTCAATATAGGCCCTATTGTTAGGTTTGTTAATTAATTGCCCAGGCGTCTCAGCCATATGTTAAAATTGGCTCTAAAAATCATGCTAGAATTCTTTTCCTAGCCTCCAATGGCATTGATTTATTTCATAAAATGTTCTTCATGTTGTAAAATGCAGTTTCTACCTGTCCAGTTATATTCTTTATCTCTGTGATATATCTTCCATTAGTTGTTATCCGTGTGCCTAGATACTTAAATCTCTGTAATTGTCATAAAATAACGCCTTTGACTTTTATTATATATTTTGGCACTAATCTTTTCTTGCAAATCACCATTACCACTGTATTTCCATTATTCAAACCGAGGCCCATTTTATTACTCTCTACCACCACATATAAGTACTGGACGTAAATTTGCCTAGAGAAACTACACAACAACCAGGGGCTGCTGGGGTTGGTTCTGCAACGTCCTGTAAAGGATACGCAAGCTAACCTTACCACGACGTCTGTCAATTCCTGTAGTTCTTTCTGACTTATCGCTATCAAGGCGGTGTCATCCAATGTCAGTGCAACATCTCACAGCCATGTTCGAAGAATAGAGGAACGATAGAGCACTTTGGTGGCAGTGAATCCACATCACTCGCCAGAATGGCAGACTTGGGAATTAAGATCGGCATAGCAAAAAAACGAGACGCACAGCAGACACGCCGGAAGACTTGTTAATCAACATAGAACTGGTACTATTAGCCATCGGACGTTGGGGTTCATACTGAGGGGAGGATCTGAGCACCTATGGACATGCCCGGAGTGCAATGATGATAACCCAACTAACTAACTAACTAACTAACTAACTAACTAACTAACTAACTAACAAAGAATGTAAAATGAATAATATGAGAATCAACACTGAAAAGACAGAATAATCTTTCTTCTGCTGTATTCGCCCTTTCTAGATTGGTCAGCACGTTGTGTTGGGATTCACAGCTAGGCTGCGATATCTGTACCTTTCTGCCCAACACATCTGAATTTAGCGAATCCTTCTTCTTCTTCTTCTCTTCCACCTTGTACCTCATCGAAATGTTCGTTGATGAGCTCTGTCAAGAGCACTATTAAGACTGATGTTCATTTCTGTAAGGCTGTTCTTAATGCCATCACTCCATATTTTCCGAGGTCTTCCACTCGCTCTATACCCGTTGTAACGTTTTAGTGTGGCTCGCTGTGGCGGATAGTAACAGGGCATTCTTGTTAGGTGTCCAAACCACTTCATTTGTTGTTCTTTGATGACCTGAAAGACTGGCTTTATTCCTAGCATTCGTCTGATTTCATGATTTCGTATTCTGTCTTTCCTTGAAACTCCTGCAGCTCTTCTAAGGCATTTCATCTCTGTTCGTATTTAACGATATGCTTGAGGGGCGGTAATTGAATTTTAAAATTATTATTTTCTCTCAAGCACTGGGCCCCTGTACCCGCATAAGATTGTGAGTTCCCTTGTGCTGATGTTAGTTATAAGGGACGTAACTATAATATTTCCGGCCACGAAATCATATTTATGAGTTGTCGGACCGCCACAGCCAGCTGAATATTCTATGTAGGTCTTATATTCATAACACACTCTTGATATAAGCTGTACGGGCGTGATAGAAGCGTTGAAAGATGTTCATAGACATCAACAATCTGTGACATACTGACAAATTACTAGTCAATAAATCAATAAAGCATCGTCCAAGCAACGAAGATTAGTGGCAGTTCATCACAACAACAACAACTACTACTACTACTACTACTACTACTACTACTACAACTACTACTACTACTACTACTACTACAACTACTACTACAACAACTACTACTTTACAACAACTACTACTACTACTACTACTACTACTACTACTACTACTACTACTACTACTACTACTACTACTACTACTACTACTACTACTACTACTACTACTACTACTACTACTACTACTACTACACTACTACTACTACTACTACTACTACTACTACTACTACTACTACTACTACTACTACTACTACTACTACTACTACTACTACTACTACTACTACTACTAATACTACTTACTACTACTACTACTACTACTTCTACTACTACTACTACTACTACTACTACTACTACTACTACTACTACTACTACTACTACTACTACTACTACTACTATACTACTAATTCTACTATACTACTACTACTACTACTACTACTACTACTACTACTACTACTACTACTACTACTAATACTACTACTACTACTTAATACTACTACTACTACTATACTACTACTACTACTACTAATGTTCTGTCTCTGACGACTATGCTTGTATACTGACAGACTGCTCCTGTACCACCGCTTTATGACATGACGCCACCTTTAGCCAAACTTACCCTTTGATTACTGCTGTCTACCTGTAACCTTCCCCACTTCTGCTTCACCCGCCTTTACATGTTTACCTTATCTACATGTTACCTTATCTTCAAATTTCAACCTTAATTATCTCTTGCTAACTTGTCTTTACATTCTAACCGTACTTGCTTACTGCCCACTGCCGTCAGAGAGTAAACCCTAGCCACCTACTGTGCGCCCACCCCCTGACATGATAAGGTGATGGTTGAATATTTTTAGACTGCCTGAGCCAGCAAGTTGTGGAGGGGAAGCTGGGTGAGGAGAAACAGCCGCACATACATGCCGTGATTGTAACTGACTAGCAGAGCATGTTGAGAAAGCTAGAGCCAGGCATGCTCCACGAAGAGTGGCAAGCATCACTTCAGAGGTCTCGGGTAGTTAGCATTCTTTGGATACTTTCTTCGGGTTATACCGGTGTGTTGGGAAATGAGCAGGCAGATAGACTAGCCGGTTCTGCACCGCTTGGTGGTAAACTGACGTATGACAGGCTGGATGCTGTGAGGGCTCACTGGGAGCGAGCGAACAGTGCGGAGGCACATTGCGGTCTGAGGAGAATGGCGCTGCGAGGAGTTACCAGGGAATCTGGTCGACGCTCTCAACACTCAGGGAAAGGACGAGAGACGGGTTTACAGTTACTGATGTCATCGGAATTGTAATTCGCTTGCTGCTGAAGATGGGAACGGAGCGCTTATGGGAGTGTCCCAGGTGATATGATGTCGATTCTTAATTCAACAATCAACAATCTTGTAAATGATTGATTTGATTTGATTCAAGAACCGACATCACAGCACTCGGGCATTCCCATAGGCGCTCCGTCCCTAGCTTCAGCAGCCAGCGAAGAGTTCCGATACTAAAGGTGCCAGTAGCGTTTCTGATTAAACGTCCGTCTTGAAATTCCTCAGAGCCTCGAGCTTCTGCCAGAACCTCTTGTCACCCCCAACTGCATCATTCTCCCCAGACTGTGGTGATCCATCTACTCTTATTATTATTTTCTCTCAAGCACTGGGCCCCTGTACCCGCATAAGATTGTGAGTTCCCTTGTGCTGATGTTAGTTATAAGGGACGTAACTAGAATATTTCCGGCCACGAAATCATATTTATGAGTTGTCGGACCGCGCCACAGCCAGCTGAAATTCTATGTAGGTCTTTATATTCATAACCACACTCTTGATATAAGCTGTACGGGCGTGATAGAAGCGTTGAAAGATGTTTCATAGACATCAACAATCTGTGACATACTGACAAATTACTAGTCAATAAATCAATA